ATATCAAATCTTAGGGTGGTTTGGAAAATAACAACCATCGAAATCATTTGAATTCATTGAGTTTATGTCCTCGTCGCTATCATCAGGAATGCAGTCGACTTCTTCTTCGAACAACTGCACAAAGCCTGCATTCAATGCCTCACTTCCAGTGGCATCAACGGCTCCAACTAGTTCACCCTCACCCCCTGTTCCATCATCATCAGAAATAACAACTTCAGCATCATATGAACTTAAAAAAATGCAAAATACAAATAATTGATTAAATAGACTACCAAATACATTCCAATGTACTACCGAATACATTAAAATCGACTGCTGTAAACAAACAAAACAACTATCAGTCAGTTTCAACTTCATCAACTCGACCACACCAAATATTTATTTCGATTACTGCGTAAACCAACTACGACACTCATATAAAACAACTCTGGTCCGACTGCGTGAACCATCCTCTGGCAACTATGTGAATCCTCTTCCAAACAAACATCATCAGACAAAAATAAGGATGTATATGTGACGACGTAATTTTTTTAAGAAACGATCTACTTTACTACCAATATAATCAACGTATCAACACAAATCTTAAAATGTCTACCCACCATAACACAACAACCCCCGCACAATACAACGAAAATAAAAACGAAAAAAAAAGTTCATACCCGCTTAACGACGGACAACGATGAACGCTCAGATCCGAACCTACCTCCACGCCGGTGAAAACTTCTTCAAAGCCGATGGAAACGATGAATCGATGGAGAAATTCTTCAAAACCGATTGTACATGTTGTGATAATAACGAAACTGCCAATATACTCACGTAATTTTATTCCGTGATTTTGGCAACGTATCAGCAATCTCATATCACGTAGTTAAGGAAATAAATGCCGTTCAAAAATAAAGCAGGGGTATTAAAAGGAAATTAAATAATATATTGTGCCAAGTTGGCATATTTGGGTGTATATCAAAAAGGGAAAAATTAATTGGATCTACCTCATTAGAGAATATGAACAAGGGGGTTATCCCTAATAAACCCTTATTTTAAACCTTATTTGATAACTCCATTGGAGTTGATTTTTTAATTTGGAATATCAAAATGGTGGTTAAGTGGTTTGATAACCCATTTAATTACTCCATTGGAGTTGCTCTTACACAGACAACTTAACAAACTTATTAACAAACTTATTTGCAGAGATTAGTTATATGGTGAAATTCATCTTGCACCCACTGTGCGAAATGTATCATTTACCCTCTTGATGTATAGAAAACATCAAACACCCCCATGCAGTTAGTTTTTTTTCCTGATTTCGTTAGTCAAACCTTTGATATGAAAATACCCCGAAATATTTATATGCTTAGTTTTGACCATTTTCATCAATTTTTTATCCTTTCCGGTTTTTTTTCCCTCACTTTCTTCAGTCATTTTTAACTATTTTCAAACCTTTTCTATTTTTCTACATAAAAACGAAAAAAAATCAAGAAAATTGAAAATCCCTAAAATCTAAAAGAAAACCTAAAATTGAAATGAAATCATAATTAATTTGAAAGAATTACGAATTAAAATCAAAGCTTTTCATATATATCGTGAAACCCCCAAAAAAAGAAAATTGAAAACCCCAAATCAAACAGTGAAATGACAAGAAACTCTTAATTCGAACGAAAGCTAAAATTCGTCAATAATCCAAAAAAAAATACACCTCATTTTTTCTTAAAATCGTATCCATAACCTTCTAAGTTCATTAGATTGAAGCGGGTAAAAGAGTCGTTGCACACTCAAATTTAACACCGTTAACCGTTTTAACGTTGACTGTAAAAAATAGGAGGGTATTTGATGTTTTCTATACATCAGGGGGTAAATGATACATTACGCATAATACATGGGTGCAAAATGAATTTTACCTTTAGTTATATTAATGAGCAAAAAATTAGAAAAAAACATTTATTTTCATATAATTTTTACTATGAAGCAGACAACATAGAAAACTTATTTACATAACTTAGTTACGCAACTTAGTTAAATAAGCTGAAGAAAAAAAACTTAATTCTTCGGTGAGAAAATCATCACCAACATTACCATCACCATCGCCAAACAATTCTTCATATTTTTTCCGTTTTGGTTTCCATGAGTGTAACCAAAATTGTATGTGTGTACTTACGTGGGTGTGGTTGCGTATGTGTGCATGTGGGTGTGTGATTATGTGTGTGCGCCAGTGTGGTAGAATACGGATGGAGCAAATTTGACCGAGGGAAGTGAGGTTGGACGAATATGACAAATTGCATTAGTTAGACGGTGATGAAGGCGAAATGAAAAACAAATCACTTTTAACAAATTGCCAAAATCCACATGTCCTAATTTGAAAGAGTATTAGTGCCCATGAGTGTTTAGCAAACTCTCCCTTGTTTATAATTTAAAAAGAAAAAATTACATCTTCCAACATTAGATAACATCAATAATAATCATTTTAATACAATTGTCGAGATTTAAGTTAAATATTTTAGAGAAAGAAAATGTATACTAGGATGTTCCAAATAATTGTGATATTTTTTTTATAGTAGAAAATCTAGTGAATCTCTTTCATCCTAAGATTAATTTGATCACTAGTTTCATGTACATATATGATCATATGTGCCTATAAATACGTATTTTCTAACTTGAAAAGACTAGTAAGAGATGGATGAATAACATCAACACGTATGTCTTTTCTTAAATAAGAAGATCGATTGCAAATTTTGGTAGAATTACAAGTAGAACTTTGAAATATTGGGGAAAACTGCACATTCTAGCAGAACACTAAGGGCCTCTTCGTTAGCTCTCGATGGCCTCATAATGGTCTCTTAATTGCACCTATCCCGGTCAAAGATATTGCTATTCAACGTATTTATTTTTTATCTTTGAACAAAGACAATTATTGCTGATCGAGTCAGTTCAAAATACTTATCTTATTCTTTCAGAAGAATACTGAATATATATTAGTAGGGTTTGGATTGAGGACGAAGCTTTTGTTATAAGTTCCAGTAAAGACATTGGGTGGTGGAGTATGAAGCGGTAGTGGGAGTTGCGAGGTTATGGTGCGGCGGTGAGAAGCGGCGGCGTATGTGTTGAGTGTAGATTTTACACTCAATACGTTTACTTTACGTGGATCTTTTGTTTAGATTTAATTATATTTGTGCTTTAATTGATTGATTTTGTGTTTTATAGGTGAAAAACGAGAATTAGGTGTCCATGAAAGAAAAAAGATCAAAAAAGAAAGGAAAAAGTTGCAAATAAGGAAACAAATCAAATTGGAAGAAGGAATCTCGCCACAACTTTGACAGTGTCCACCATTTCGAGCATATCTCTCTCATACGAACTCCGAATTAGGTGATTTTGGCGGCATTGGAAAGCTAATTTCAAGGGCTACAATTCTTATTTACACAACATTCCAAAATTCGGGCTCCAACATGGCACAAATAGACGAACAAATCCTGATGGGGAAAGTGGCGAAAATTGATTCCTATTAGGTTTCCACTACTTCCTTATTAAGAAAAGCATATAAAAGCAACAAGTCTCTGCACCATAAGCACGAAAATTGACACCCCAAAACGCGAAGAACGGAGATCAACGAAGACTCAAGCATAGTTTTCCTTATTTATTTTATTTATTCTATTTTGCTTATCATAAGAATTACGAGTAGCTAAGCTTTTAATCTAGGATTTTGTTGGAACCCTATGTAGGGATGGTGAACCCGTTTTCTTGAGATTATGCAATTATGATTTTATGATTATTTCTTATACTTGTTATGATTGTTAGTGCATGAACTTGATCAATTTATGTGCTTTATCTGTGATTATTAGGATTGACTCGATAGAGCTATTTTGATAATTAGACGGTAAGTATAAGAACCTTCGAGTAGTTTTCACAGGATGAGTGTGTCAATTGCATGTGGTGTCGTAGACATACAAATATCACCTTAGGTAGCCATTTACGAGACATGTTAGTTAATGATTTATTCATAATTTGTTTGCATGGACATATAGTGAACCGTTTATGAATAATAGACTCATAATACACGCGACAGCGGATTATGAGTAAATTAGTGTCTCGGGTTAATAATCACGAATCATATATTTCATAATTGAGGGGTTTTGGGTGAGCAATTTTTGCATAGAGGAAGATAAAATCCTAGGTTCGTTTTTATTGATTTTTTCTCGTGTTTAATTGCTTTCATAATTAGTTTAATTATTTAGTTGAATAAATTTGACAACTTTGCGTAGGCTGGATAAAAATCATTATTGTTAGAATTTGGTACTTAGGATTAGATAATTTGAGTATTCCCTGTGGGATCGACATCCGACTCTCACGAGTCCACTATTACTACTTGTTTGCGATACGTGCACTTGCGTGTTAGGTATTTAGCCCCAACAATATGCGCAGAGAGAAAGAGATATTATTATATTTCACAAACTCAAGGCTCTAAACCGTGGGAATCGGGTTCGAGTCGGTTAGGCACCGTTTTACGAGTAGTCGGTACGACGGTGATCAATCGAAGATAAATGAGAAATAAATCGATTTTTTAAATTTAATGTAATATAATTTTAGATATTATTTATAAATATTCAAAACATATGTAAAAAGATATTTAAACATTTTACCCCATCAGTTATATATCATAATGCGTAATAAAATTTTAATGATAATAAGATTATAATATAATATATATTCTTACAAAATAAAAATATAATGAAAATCTTGTGCGTCTAAAATTATATTTGAACGATTGCAAGCATATATCATTAGGTTTTTAAAAGTAAAAATTACATAAACAAATTAAAACAAAGCATAAATTCATTTTTGATTAAAACGCCAACTTTTTTTTTTTAATTAAAAAAAAAGAAAAAAGAAATCCGATCTTTTACCGACTTTTGAATGTTTGATCCGCCTCCAAGGTTTGACCCCCTCAACCCGCCTCAAACCGCCTCATAGGTAAAAACCAAATTTTCAAACCTTAACACATAAATCGTAAAGATTTTAGACCGCCTCCGCATGGGAGACCGATTAATTGGCAGCCTCGACCGATTTTTAGAACATTGCACAAACTATAGTCCGCGAGAAATACTTTTTATAGTTTAAAGGAAAAACGACTTTATGCTATTTGATAAAAGTCATTATACCCTTTCTCGCTCTAGATCTGACGCTAGATCTGGAATCTATCTAGATGAATTGCTTAGGAAAACTAATAGTAACAATGACGGTGATTTTTAAAACTTAGTTAAAATAAAACTGGCAATAATAGTGACAGTGATTTGCACAGTTTAGTTATATTAATAAGCAGCTTTGTTAAAATACACTGAAAAAAAAAACTAAAACAAGAATAGATGCATCCCACAACACATACACAACTTACACAGACTTAGAAAACTTATTTACAAAGACTAGTTATATTAATGAGCAACAAATTAGAAAAAAAACACGGATTTTCATATAATTTTTCTTTGAAGTAGATAACTTAGAAAACTTATTTGCATAGATTAGTTACACAACTTAGTTAAATAAGTTGAAGAAAAAAACTTAAATCTCTGGTACGTACATCACCACCAACATTACCATCACCATCACCATCGCCAAACAATTTTTGATATTTTTCTGTTTTGATTTCCATGATTATTAAGTTACAACGGAGATGAATGAGTGTAACCAAAATTGTATGTGTGTACATGAGTATGGTGCGTATGTGTGTGATTATGTGCGTGTGCCAGTACGGTAGAGTTTCGACGATGACAGTGGTGGAGAGCATGGATTGAGCAAATTTGACGAAGTGAAGTGAGTTGGACGGATATGACGGAGTACAATTAGTTAGATTGGGATGAAGGCAAGACGAAGAACGAATGACTTTTAGCAAATTATTAAAATCCATTTATTTTGATATGAAAGAGTATTATTGTCTAGATGTGTTCAGCAATCTGTCCCTTGTTTATAATTTAAAAGTTACATCTTCCAACACCATATAACATCAATAATTTTTTTAATAAAATTGTGAAGATGTAATTTAAGTTAAAAACTACACAAAACCCGAACAACATTTTAAATATTTTGGAGAAAGAAAATGTATATCTCGGATGTTCTAAATAATTGTGATATTTTTTTTATACTAGAAAATCTAGAGAATCTCTTTCATCCGAGATTAATTTGATCATTAGTTTCATGGAGGGTCTATAAATACATATTTTCACTTGAAGATTAGTAGGAATTGGACGAATTAAAAACAGAACTAGCTCTTTTTGGAACATATAATTTTGTTGGAAATAGGTAGAATCATAAAACAAAAGGATTGAGATGGACTACAAATATTTTGTTATTACTTGTAGCAAAGACATTGGATAAAAAAACACTTTTGGTTCGGCTGTCAACTTACCCAGTTAACTTGGATGGAAATATCATGTGCGCCACACCTGAGACCTGAGATCCATGTGGCCGTCCAAATCAACATGAAAGATGAATTGAACGACATCTCATTATCTCTCTCTTAGTTTCAGTATATTTGTATTCTAAACTCTAAGAGACTGAACATTCAACTTTTGTTCCGATATTAGAGTTATTTAAACACACGCATATGGGTGTATATCCGTAGTGTTTACTTTGTGAGAAAAGTATCAGTTTCATCATTTCCCTTAATTATTACAGAAAACATATATCGAAAGGAATGTCAATATTTCTTTATTTAAACCTTTAAAAAACATTCTAATTCATACAAACATGCATTTTTACGAAAAACTAGAAAATTTAAACCGATATATATGCAGTGATTAGCTATTGGAGTAATTTGGGGTAGATTTTTGAGAATCAAAGATGGAAAACGGGGGTTTATCTAGAAGAGCAAGTAAGGATTTGTTAAAGAGATAGGAGAGATTGATAATGAGGTGTTGTCTACTCGTCTTCCAACTTGATTTGGACTGCCAAACCAAAAATGTCAAAAAAATGGCAAGTTTGAGAATTAAATTCGTGGCGACAAAAATTTGAGGACTAAATCGTTTTAGGGGCTAAATATAGGGATAGAAAGTGTAATTATCCCAACTGAAGTTAGACGGGTAAGGATAGAGGATGAAACTTTTGTTACTATTTACAACAAAGACATTAAATTCAAAAAAAAAAAAATCTAGACTGAAGTACCCAAATCAATCCACCAACATGCAAAATATACATACGCGTCTCCGGTTTTTTTTCTCTGTTATGTCCGATCACGTTCCATTTTACACCCGCTGAATTTCACTAACTGCATAATCTGCTTATCCGCACGATTTTTTAAAAGTTTATCCCTACGAAATTTCACCAAACGTAGCATACAATGATCAGTTACGTATTTATGCCCGAGTAAAAATCAATTCGATGAAGACATCGTCACCTATTACCGCTTAGCTAATAAATTAATACCAAAAAATTAAAAAACAAACTTATTGATTTCTTTATAAAAAAAAATGTATGCAATTAATTCCCATTTATATAATTAAGTTACACATAATAATCACTTCTGGTGTTATTTTAAGTTGGTTTTGGAGTTTGCCAGTTTTGTGGCACTGGACCAATGTCATAAATGACCTCTCTATGGCATGACCAAACTAGCTTTATTGCTTCTGGAGTCCCGATTCCCGCTCCTCTCGGATCTCCGGCCGGCCCGAACCTACGATTTTCATAATTATTATTTATTATCAAATATAAATAATTATAATAACAAAAATAAAAACTTTGAACTTCGCCTTTATACTAACCAGTGATTCTGTGGAGCCCCGGTTGTTCTCGCTCTTAATCCAGCATAAGTAGTTCCGTTGACTGAATTCCCGATAACCTCCTGTAATGTAATTACGCAAAATTTCAATTTTTACGAGCATTTTCTGGATAAATTTTGTAGTTCTTTTCAGCATATTCAACTTTTCGATTCAATGAAAGCCAATTTTTTTACGTGTCTCATCTTATACATAGACTTCACATTGAGTATATTGAGAAACAAACATAAGTTCATATATATATATATATATATAGTTAAAAAAACATATAATTATTTTTTGACTTACTTGTAGGAATAATGGATCATTTGAAACTACGGCAGCAGTTAAATGCGCGTGCATTTTTTCAAGCACATTCAGCACTAACTGAAGCTCGTTCTGCTTGTATTCCGTGACAACCTTGAGTGAAGATACAAGAACAAGTAATTATAATTAATATATCTCGTAATAAAAACAAGGCTCGTGAAATTCGAAAACAATAAAAAAAAATATAATATAGGATTTCGTTTACCTGGAACGGACCAAATATTTCTTTTGTTACCAGATCATAATTATTCTCGTTCAATATTTCTTCGAGCGGAATAAATACAGCAGTAGGTTTAATGGCACCATATATTGCGGGAATCGAATGATTTTCTAAAGCTTCACCGCCGAATAGAAGCTTCGATCCTTTTATCTCGAGCAATTTTTTCATGTGATCCAGCATTTCTTTAGTTGTAACCTACAACCAAAAAACAATATAGAAAAAAAAAAACTTACATACTCACACACAAACAAAATAAAATAATTAGTATATCAATAAATAAATAATAAAAATAGAAACTTACAGTAAGAACGGGGCCCACAGTCAGGTCATCGAGCTTCCTTCTAGAAGCAAGTCCAGTCAACTTTTCAATGAAAGAACTTTTACTCCAGTTCTGCATTTTTTTTTACGGAATAAACGGGTTGTAAGAAAACATGCATTTACTTCAATAAATAGTAATACTTAATAAAATTTTATAAGCTTACCTCATGCATGAACAATATCGATTGAGCCGAGCACTTTTGACCACTGCATGCATATGCATCTTGATCACAAACCCATGCGACATAATCCTCCTATAAAAACAAAAATCGAATATAAACAATTATACAACTTCCGGAAATGTTTTTAATTTAAATTTTATATAAATTATGAATTACATTTTGAACATCAGGCCCGAGAATCTTCCAGTCAAAACCAGCATCTTCCAGTTTGATACGGCCTTTGAGATCAAGAGCTAATTTTTCTGCAACTTTCGAACTGCCAGTGAAGAGAGTCATGCGTGGTTCCGCCTGATCATACAAAATAGTTGTAAAAAAATTGTCACGAAAAAATAATTATCGATATAGTGGAGATTTAATCGAGCTGTGTTTACATAAATTTAATTAACTAATACGTTGCTCTATTTTACCAAAGTACTGAATTGAATACAAACCAAGTGTATCGACATACATTCAATTTAGTGGAGATTCGTTGACCGTTGAATTTTAACAATGTAAATCAATTAAATATCGATTTAATCTACTAAATATACATTAAATTAATTAAAATAAAATACAATAAATGAATTCATTATCACCACATTAATAAAATGTACTTAACATGATAGATTAAACATAATTTTAATATAAATAAACATAAATCTCTTCTTAAATATATTGTAATTTTAATATAAATAAACAGAAATAAATATATCATAATCAATTATATTGTAATTGCAGGAAATTATAAATTTATAATTGGAGAGCGAATGAAAAACTAACCTCCAACAGAAGCTTGTTCATAGTTTTCCCATCCGAATTTATAAAATCAACATCTTCCGCAGGCAACCCACACTCGTGGAGTAACCGAAGCATTTGTTCCATAACCAATGAAACCTTTATATATAAAATAAATATTTAATAAATAATTGCAAAAATTAAGCCACAATTTAATTTAAAGTTCTTGATGTCCTTACCTTGCTGTCTACTTTAAGAAGTGGCTTGTTTCCCATATAAAGTGCACCCATCAATTGAAGCAACGGAATCTCTAACGGAAAATTGAAAGGCGTAATAATCGTAACCTAAACACGACAAAATAAATCATTAGTTTCAATAGAAAATAACAAGGAAAATAATTAGTACAATAAACTGATGAAATATTGAATTATCATTTCGGAGAAAAAAAATTGACTTACCGGGCCGAAAGGCCACCTATAACCATTGCTCTGCTGCCCTAAATGATTTCCAGGTACCGCAAATGACCTAGCCAGAAATCGAACCTGACAAATGAAGTTAAGATAAACAAATAAAATCAATTTCGTATTTGAAAATACGAAACAATGCACAATTCGAAAATCTTACTTGATCACCACAGAAATTCTCTAGAAATTTTCCCGTGACAAAAACTTCACCGAGCGCCTGCTCGTAACTCTTCGGAGAAACCCTTTGTATCAACTTTGCAAAGAAATCAGATACCTTGAAGCAGAACACGAAAAAAATAATCGTCATTTATTTTTCTAATTACAAAAAAAAAAAAAAAAAAAAAAAAAAAATCAACAATATGTAAATAAAGAATTCACACGAACCTCGGGTAGGGAAAGCTTTTGAGCAGCTTTTATCGATACATCTCCAAGCATGAGGTATCTGAGACATATGCGTTTAATTCAATTTAATAAATACAGTAATGAAATAATTAACTACAAGATGAAAAGGTTTAATTAACTAACATCTACATAAATACGATGATTTTATAAACAATAATTCAATAACCTTTCTGGTGATTTAAATGGGTTGTGTAAACCATGTTTGGGGCATTTGGATAAACTCTCGACGAACGGCTGCATACAAATCACGAGTTCTTGAAACATAATTCGGAAAATCAATAAATAATATTGCATGATATAATTCTAAAGTAAGGGAGATATAAATACTACCTGTATTCCCTTTTCATCTACTTCAGAAACCCTAATAAACGATTCGCCATTTAAAGGATCCGGGATCGTATTCCGATTTGAAGATCCTATCCAATTCCCCTGCACTGATAAACAGAAAAACCAAATAAAATTTATTAAATTAATTAACACACAAATTTTATTAACAAACAGAATATAAAAAAATTCACAAAATTAATATGTACCTAAATTCAACACTTCAGCTGGCTGAGAACCCGAGAGTTCTTCGGCTTTTACGGTTGCGAAAGAAAATGAATGAACCAATCTGTATAATTACACCAATCAAGATAGAACTCAAAATTTCAGAAATTAATTATTTAATACATTTTAATTCACAAAAAATTACAAAATTATTCCCAAATTCAATTAAAATGATCAAATCGGTAAAATTCTTACACAAATTCGGATCATCCATTACCATAATCAAACAAAAACAAACGAACCCACAGAAATTGAACCATTAAATAAAAAAACGAAAGATGCAAATTCATCGAAAATAAAAAATGAAAAGAGCAGGTTTTTGAGGTACCTCGAGAAATTAAAGGAGGAAGGCGAAGCAAGTTGGGGGACTCTGTTCTTCAAATGCCTGAAAGCCATTAACACATACATGATTGCTCTGTTTCTAATCTAAGTGAGAAAAAAGAAATTAAAATAACACACACACAAAAAAACCCCCACTGTGTGAGTCAAAGGATTTGTGGAATTATTTCTAGTCACCTTTTTTTTTGGGTAGTTTGTTAATTTTGTTGACCTGACTATTTCAGATTCCCTGTGACAAATTGAGGTCACCCAATTACCCAATAATGTAAATTGCGGAAACATTCTTTTGTTTGCATGATTACTCCAATTCGTAAATTTAGGGAAGTTCATTCGGTAAAATTGTACAGAAATTCTGGTACACTAAAATCTCAAGTGTTCGGTTCTGTAAATAATTGAATTATCATTATTAAAATATTTAAACAATTATTTCTTTATATTTTTCCTAATTAATTATAGTTTAAATCTATATACAATAATAATAATAATAGTAGTAGTAGTAATAATAATAATAATAATAATAATAATAATAATAATAATAATAATAATAATAATAATAATAATAATAATAATAATAATAATAATAATAATAATAATAATAATAATAATAATAATATTAATATCGCACCGAATTGTCGTTTCGGTAATCGGCATGTATCGAATTTTCGTTCAGTTCGATTCAGTCAGTGTACCGACCATATGAACAATTCTAGGTAAATTTGACACTGTAAGAGTGGACGCGTAAAACAATATATAGTTAAGGGGTGACTGTAATTATGCAAACATGATGAGTGATTTCGTAATTTGACATTACCTCAAGGGGGTGACCGTAATTTGTCCGTTTCCCTATGATTATGTAGATATGCTTTCATAGTTGGACATATTCGAAAAACTTACAGTCTTCACTAATTTCATATTTGGTCCTTCATGTTCACACAAAATATATTTGGTTCCTTGTATTTAATAATATAGTATTTTTGATCCTTTCTGTCAATTTACAGTTAATCTGTCAATTAAGGCAGTGACGTACACACGCTTCATTTCGTTAGTACTAACGTTTTAGAGCTTATAAGCTCTTCCAACATGTTTGGTAATTTTTTTTAAAAAAATCTTATTTTTTTTAAAAATAAGTTGTTGGAGAGCAAATAAGGTCTTTTTAAAAAGGGGCCTTAAGATATAGGTCCCTGGTGACAAAACTTATTAGAACTAAATGACAAGTCCAATAAAACATTTGCTTCACATCCTTTATAAAATTCATTCCAAAAATGCCCTTCCACTCACAAATTAGAAATTTGCATTTAGTAAATTCAAATTGCATTTATCATATTATTTGTTCTACATTTAATAGTTTCATATTTACATCTAACGTTTTTCTAATTTCTTTTACAAAACATATTTTTGTCATTTTCATTTATTTCTTCATTTTAATATTTATACGCTATTATGAAACAAATCTTTTTTTTTTCTTTTTCACATAATATTGAAAAGTACAACAACAAAAGCATGCTAATTTTTTAATTTTTTAATCCAATATACATATTTTCAATTTTTCTGCAGTAGACTATGGTATACTACGGGATGCTATAGTGTACTACAATATACAAGATACTATGTTTTACTATGGTTTACTATGGTGTACTATCAAACCATAGCCCCCAACAAATTCGTCAGCCCTAGCAGTCCAATGTAGCCGCCGCCGCCAAACCCTAGCGGTCGTAGAACAGTCATCGTTGAGCCGTTCTTGCCGTGTACGCAACTAAGCCCACACATACCATGAATTAATCCTCACAACTAGCCCTAGTCACCGCTCAAAATACAACGAAAAGATCTACGCCGACACACATCTCGCCAATCCTTCCCTGATGCAATCCCCACTTCCACCATCCAAGACGAGCCTGGGACATCGGCGCCGCCGACAAACCCTAGCGGTCGTAGACCAGTCACCATCGAGTCGTTCTCACTGTGTGCGCAACCAAACCCACACATACCACGAATTAATCCTCACAACCAGCCCTAGCCACCGATTAAAAAGCAACGAAAATATCTAAATCGACACACATCTCGCCAACCCTTTTTCTGATGCAATCGCCACTTCAACCGTCCAAGGCGAGCCTGGGACATCGCCGCCGCCGTGCAAAGGCATCTGAATTAGCCACCAGGCCACCGTCGATTTGCAGATTTATTGCTCCGCTATAAACTTTTAAAAAATCAGATCTACTAATTATAGAGAAAGAAAAAGAAAGCAAAAGAAAGAAAAGAAAAGGAGTGAATGAGAAAGATTGGGGCAGGGAAAAATGATAGAGAAAGAGAGAGAAATTGTGAGAGAGGGAGAAGAGGAGAAGTTGGGCGACGGAGAAAGCAATAGAGAAAGGGGAAGAAAGTGAGAAATAATAGAAGTGATTTTTTTATTAGTTATGTATTAAGGGTAGTTTTGGGTTTAAAAAATTTAATAGGATGTGTATTAATTTTTGTTTAGAACTAAGGATTTAATTAAAATTTTCTATTTGAGCTTGTCTCCTACGTCTAATTAGGTTTGGTTTGAGGGGTGACAAGCATATTACCCCTTTTAAAAAAGTACCTGTACCCCACCTTTTTATTTAAGATCTTATAATGAGTAAAAATAGGAAATAAGCTCATTATCCAAACACTCCAAACAAATAATCCTAAAATAAGATGTAACAGATTATCCTTTTAACATCTTATAAGCTTAGCCAAACACCCTCTTAATCACTTGTACGAATTATTTTATTTACGTTTGATTTTCTTCTTAGAAGCATATATAGAAATTTGTTTGGATATCCATTTCCAAATTCCCATAATTCTCATTTTATACGTGATTCGGTCATAAATGGCTCAACCCGATGCAATAAGTACATGGGCCGAAAAGAGATGGTATGTGACAAACACTAGCGGAGTCGGGATTTGTGTAAAAATGATTCCTCAGTACGTTTCGGACGCAATTATGGGGGAATTGTGTGTCCGATTCGGGTGGAAAAAACTAACGGAAAAATAAATTTTAGTATTGATCGTTCAAATTGACCTTATATTAAAGGGATTATTAGCAAGACCCCCCCTCATCTAGGAAATGTAGTTAAGGAAACCCCCCCTCCCAAAAATAATTAGAGAAAACCCCCTTAGTTAGGATTTCACCAAATGTTATTTTTATAATTCCAAATCTACCCTTATTTGTCAATGTATTATTTTGAAACCCTAATTTCTTTCTTATTTTTTCAGCCCCTCACACCCACCAATGCCTCTCCCCGCCGTCCACCATCTCTGCCCATCACCACTACCACTATCTCTCCCCCGCCGTCCACCGCCACCTGCCGCCCCCGGCGGCGCTCCGGCGAACGTGGCCATCGCCGTTGCCAGGCTTGGTGGGAAGGCCGCCTTTCTCGGGAAGCTCGGCGACGACGAGTTCGGGCACATGCTCGCCGGAATCCTGAAGGAGAACGGCGTCTCCGCCGACGGCGTGAGATTCGACAAGGGCGCACGCACCGCCCTGGCGTTCGTGACCCTACGCGCCGACGGAGAGCGTGAGTTTATGTTTTACAGGAACCCCAGCACTGACATGCTGCTCACTCCCGATGATTCTCTGATGAATATGATCTTCGTAATCATACGTCTTGATTATCGTGAACTGGATTGAAGGGAGAGGAAAATCGGTTGTGTGCGAGGCCATCATCAAGGAGGAGATTGTGAAGAAGGTGCTTAAGACTGATGTTGCTTCATTGGTGGAGCTGAACATGGCTCAAGACCTGACGGGTTCGGCCATGGCAGAAGCTCTGGGTGGTGTGGTGACGATGGGGAGGATGTTTTTTGGTTTTTTTGTGGATTGAACGGATGAAGGCGCGTGTAGAGAATTTCGCGCAGGCTGTTACCTTAATCGACTATGTACATGTTCATAGTCGATTAAGCTAATCGACTATGCTCTGGTAGTCGATTAAGGTTCACCGACTCCAATTTTTTTTATTTTTTTTGGATTTTTTGTTTATTGCTTTCAATTGTATAAATCATTTATAATATTTTTATATGCTCTGGTAGTCGATTAAGGTTCACCGACTCCAATTTTTTTTATTTTTTTTGGATTTTTTGTTTATTGCTTTCAATTGTATAAATCATTTATAATATTTTTATATTTTTTTGTTTTTGTTATATATAGTTGATTTTGTTTTTTTTTTCGCAGTTGTGATTTGTTATTTTTAGTAGCAGATTCTTAATCGACTATGTTTCACATCATAGTCGATTACTATAACTGATATAAACCAAAAATTAAAAACAAAAAAAAAAATTAAATAATTAAATAATTTCCTTAATCGACTATGAAGCATAGTCGATTAAGGCTTAATCGAATATGCTTCATAGTCGATTAAGAAAAAAACGGAAAAAAAAAAAAAAAATTGCTGAGCGTGACCCAGTGATGATGTGGCGGGTGGGGGCAAAGTTGGAAAGCATAATGGCTGAAAATGGGTGTGGACTTTTCTCAAATGGACTAAAATATTTTGGGCCTCCCTCAATTAAAAAAAATAATGAGGGGGTTTTCTCAAAGAGCCCCTATATTAAACCGTAATTGTGCTACAAATTCGATAAATTCATGTTTTGATGATTAATTGTTTGGTATTTTGACAAAATAATATTAGCAAAAACTTACAGATAAATGGTTTGAAAGGATGGTATTATATTTAGGGTAAATTACGAAACCCCTTGAACTTAGGCTAAATAATGAAAAACACCTCCGCCTATTCGTAATTACCAAAAACCCCATGAGATTTATTTCCGTCTTACACCAATCCCTGACAGTGAGACTTTTCACGGATTTTTTTTTTTATTCCAGGGAATATATTTTACACAATTTCAAATATTCTTTTTTATTTTTCACCTATTTAACACAAGGTATAATAGACTGTACACATTTTCTGTTAAAAACCCGATCAACAGTTAATCAGAGAGGGATATTTGTTATTACGGAAAGATGGAATTGTTTTTCATTATTTAGCCTAAGTTTAGGGGGTTTCATAATTTACCCTAGATTCGTTATTTTTTATTTACGAATCCTCCACTAAAGAGTCTCTTCTCCCAAAAAAGCTATCAACATTGCAAAGATTAAAATATCCTTTAACATCTAATTTACTCGAATTTTATCCTCAATCCCCATTTAATCAATATTACATATTGACCCCAAAATTTGATCAAATTTAATCACAATTTTACTGATACACAAATTTCGACCCATAATCCAATTTTAATTTAGGAACTTTAGTCTTTTAAAGATGGAATTACATTTTCCACTTCAAATTACCACCCACGGGTTTGTTATCGACGATCATAAGTTAGAAATTTCGTTAACTTAGGGCTTGTTTTTTATTCTTCAAAAGCAAATCTCAGTATCGTAATTCAATGAACTCGTAAAAGCTAAAAAAATAATGTATTTTCGTAATCTCGGAGAACTCAAGCAACTATTTTATGTGTTTGAAAACGGTATTTGTTTGACAAATCTACCGACAATGGAATGTTGTTCTTTACGAGCTTTCTTGAATCAAATTGACAATCTATGTTTCATAGTAATAAATCAAAATTAATCTTTTTATTTATGAGTATTTAAGAGTATTCTGCTTGTGAGCTGTGTGTATTACTACATTTATATACAAAAACATATAATAGTTACAAATATTACCTATTTTATATTATTTTTTTCGAACACCTCTAACGAAAACATTTACGACGACATTGAGAGTAGTGCTTCTCAAAAGTTGATCGGATAACCCAAGAGTTCTTGAGATCAAGAAGTAGAGAATGTCGAAAGTCATTGCCACGTGTCTTAAGTAGTCGAAAAGTAAAGATCGTTTTGTTGACCCTACAAAACTAACGAAAACACCGACGACTCGTGGGAAATTACTTACTGATTGTGCTTTGACCTCGAGTAAAGAAGTATTTCGTCGATGTATTCCACGTGTGACGAAAAACATTAATATTTCCTTACAAACCCTTTTCGGGGGGCTTTTAGTTATGTTTGAAAGAAGGTTATTAAAAACAATTTTAATTCCTTTATTTGATCATTTTGCTTTTAATAATATAAAGAGTTGATTTTCATAGATATTGAACTATTTTTTATACTCAAAAAAAAAACTATTTTTTTAGATATTAATATATAATAATTTCTATATATTAAAAATATATATTAATCCAAATTCACCAAATATAAAATTATAACACATAAGATAAATAAAATGAGACGTATATATTATTAGTGCCAAATTGATATAAATATATTTATATATATAAATAAAATATTAATAATATGTAATTTGGTTACAGAAATGTACGGGAAAATAAATAGAGAGTATGTGAAATACCGCCCATTTATACACACCTGGAAAATAGGAGATTTGTCCTAAATTGTAAATCAGCCACTCCACCCTCCAATCACCGTTTTCCACCACCGTAATCTTCCGCAGCGCTGGTTAGGCTCACGGCGGCCGCCGCCGGCTCGTTTCGTGTTCTATTGCTTATTTGCTCGTGTATCGATTTGGTCGGAGCTTCCGCTCCTCGCGCGTTAAATAGTTAATCGTGCTCTTTGTTTTCCGGTGAGTGTTATTTTTTTTTTAAATTGTTACCTAGTTGTTGGGCTGAATCATGCTTTGCTGAAATTGAAATGCCCTATATCATTTTGATGTGAAATTACGCCCTAATCCGATTTCCCCCAATTCGATTGAACCCTAGCATTTTCCGAGTTTATTGATTTTCGTCCCAATTTTGGCTTTATCGAATGTAGTGTATTCGTTTGATTTAATTATATTCAGCAAGTATGCGTGCGTGATTGAACTCTGTATATCTGCTCACGCATATGATCAGAGTTCTGGGGAACCCAATTGCATTGGTTTAGTTTTTGTTTAACATGGGTAAGTTAATAACCTAGATTTTAATTAAATAAATTGACTTTAATTTCAAATTTGGTGCCCCATTTTGCTCAAAGATAAAGGTGTACTCATGCTGCTCAGAAAATGAGGCTCTTTTATTTCTTGTACAGTTCCTGAGTTATAAAAAAGCTGAGCATTCAGATTGTGCAGTTACAAAAATCGGATAAAAAAGTTCAGTATCAAACGGGGATTGCGAAACTGACTGTATTTAGTTAACTGCATTTGATGAGTGGAACTCTTATTTTATAGGAATTGCAGTTGAAACTTTCAACTATGCCAGGACATGGGAATAGAAAAAAATGGAGTACGGAGATAAACTGAAGGATTGTACTTTATGGTGGATTTTATGATTGACTTTATGTGCCTTCGAATGTTTATGAGATGCCATTTTTTTAAAATCATACGGAATTGTTTTGCAATAATTTTCAGAATGTTGATTGATCATGCTTCTCTTTAATCTCTCTTTATTTATTTTTTTGGTATTTGCTCTGCAGGTTTTCTTGCCTACTTCAGAAATTGCCCTTGTTTTGCGTGGGACTTGATACTCGATTCCAACTATTTTATTATGGTTTTTGTATCTACATGTTGGAAGTCTGGTTCCATGTGGTGTATTACATATTTATCGGCCTAAAGTAAAGATGAATTTACAAACGCACCATTCACGACAGATTTCTGGAAAGGTACCTAACCAAGCTGGTAATATGTTGCCTGGGCTACCACAGCAGACTGGAAATCCTGTAACTAACCAGATGCATAATCCCAATATTCATCGCATGGATCCTGAAATTGGGAAAACACGCAAATATATGCAAATGAAGATGTAAGAATTTTTCTATTTTATATCCGAAATATGCTTTCAATAATGATTATCGTAGATAATGTACTAGGAATTAAGCCTCTACAATCTACATTAAAATAATCAAGAGTTAATGAAAAATTACTTTCTCTATCTATGTTTATATTGCAGGTAACTATGTTATCTGTTAGTTTCATGGCGTTATATCCTCTGGAATTCCTACGCGGTTTTAAAATAACTTGCCTTTAGTTTTATCTACTTCATTAAATTTTCATTACAAGTGAATGTACAGGGGTCAAGTCTCGATAACTAATTTCATTTGCAAAATATTGCTGTTTTTTTTTTTTTGTCATCTTTTCTGGATCGTTAACAATATTTGATCCGTTAGGTACATACGTCTTGTCCTTTTTTAAAATTTGTCCCCTCAATTCATTCATTACTAAGACCAAGTACTGTAAGTCTGAACATTTGATACTATGATGATGATAAATTTGGATCATAGTAGTCTTCATAGTTGAAGTTGTTCTAGAAAGATTCACTGGTCAATCATATATGTTCTTAAATTCTTATATGTTTATTTGCATGTGGTTGGGTTATTTTTACATATTTCCTTGTGTACATGATTGATGTTTTGTTGTAAATTTAGATAAGTGGATAGTGTAGTTGCATCTGTTTCTAAACTCTGCCACTCTTCTTTCCATCGAGGAAATAGCGTACCTTCCCTTTTCTGCTGCCCTGCTTGAATTTTTTTCGTTTCGTTGATTTTTCTGTCCTCTATTTCCTTGGTTATTTTCATTTGTTTCATGCACAAAATTATGAGGATCAGTTTGTAAATGCTGTCGTTATTGAAATTGCATGCTAAATTCACACTTCTAAGGTTTTTAGTGTTTATCTTCTGCAGCTTGGAATTTCTTATGCATCGTCGTCAACAAACTCAGGAAGTACCAAAAAAGAAGATGGAGGATTTGGTGAGGCGCTTAGAAGAAGGTTTGTACAAGACTGCTACGACGAAGGTGTGTTACTTCTGCATTCAGTTACTTCATGCAATTCTTTTCCAAAATAATACGCATAGAAGTTTTCTGATTGACCCTGAAATGTAAGAGCTTCCAATATTCATAAGATAATAGACTGGAATTCAAGTAGTAGCTTTTAAAAAGTTGTAAGCATTACTTATCGTAATGAAATATTCTGATGTACCTTTATACAGTTCTATTTCTCTTTATTGTATTACTGATCTTTTCAGGAGGAATATCTAAACCTGGAAACTTTGGAAAGTCGTTTATCCATCCTGATTAAACCCCTTACTATGAGCAATCACAACCAGCAGTTTTCACATGCTAATTCTTCAGCTTCTATCGGTACAATGATTCCGACTCCTGGATTTCAACAAACTGGTACGTCAAGCTTTGTTGGAACTTCATCCATGGACAGTTCACCTGTCGCCATCAATAGCTCCAACGCAACCAATCTCAGTTCTGGGAGTTTATTGCCAAGTCGAAATGGTTCTTTTAGTTCCTCCGATGGTATTTTATTCTTGTCATCTGTACTTGGTATGAATTACCTTTTCGCCATTGCCTCACAAAACGTGTTCTGCAGGAGCTTTGACTAGTGGATTTCAGCAATCGTCACCTGCGTTCTTGGTCAATAACAGGGGTAGTAACACAGCGACACCCTTGGCTGTACAGAGGATGGCCAGTCAAATGATGCCTACTCCTGGAATGAATAATTCTAACAACAATTACATGAATATTAATGCTAATAACCACACACTCATGAACGCGGAGTCATCAAATAGTCGTGGTGTTGAACCTACAAGTGCATCACAGCCTATGCTGCAAAAACAGCATGTGGGTGGCCAAAATAGTCGTATCTTACATAACATTGGTGGGCATATGGGCGGTGGAATCAGATCTACATTGCAGCAGAAGTCCCTTGGGATATCAAATGGGACATTAAATGGAGGGTTGGGAACTGGATATGGAAACCCCACCAAACCCTTGCATCAACATTTTGACCAACATCAACGACCAATAATACAGGGTATTGTGTCTCTCTCTCACCCACTCTCAGTGTATATTTCGGAACAGATTATGTAATACTATTGATCTCATCGAGAATTTTAAGATGTATGCTCAGAAGCTCTTCTGCGTGACAGGTGATGGATATGGAGTTGGTGCTGCTGATGTTTCAGCATCCGGAAACTTGTACGGGTCAACGATGAACAACCAGAGCTTGAATACTGGATCCATGCAATCCATGTCGAGAACAAGCTCTCCGTTGATGACAAACAATCAGTCAAATGTATACTTTACTCAACAGGGGAGAGCTATGGAGCCACAGTCAATTGATCAACCAGATAAAATGCATTTCGAATCACAGTATTCGGTAAAAGATAATCTCGTACAACCTCATCAGCACCAACAGTTTCAAAACCCATCTCAACAGTTTCAGCGCTGGGAACTTGCTCAGCATCGTGTTCAACAGAAAAAACAAATGGAAGATCAGAGTTTGGCGACGAGCGATTCTTTCAATCAGTCCCAGCTATTATCTAATAATATTGTTTCCGAGGCAAAGTCTATGACTGGAATAGAGCATTGTCATGAAGGTCTACAGTCACAAGTCTCCAACGCTTTCCATCTTTCCGATATGCAGAATCAATTACAACAGAGCACTTTGGAAGACCATTCTAGAGCCACTCAGATTTTGTCACATCAGTCTGGTCCGCAGGATGTCTTTTCAGCACGACAATTTGTTGCCAACCCTCACAGTGATTCTTCTGGTGGCATCCAACCAGATTTGGGATTCCATGGTCAACGGTATTCCAATTCCCAAGATGTACCTTTATCAGGCAGAAGTGTGCAAGACGAGTTTCATCAAAGAGTAACTGGCCAAGATGTAGCTCAGCCAAATAATTTATCCTCAGAAGAATCAATGATTGGCCAATCTGTTACTTCTAGATCAACAGAGCCTCTCAATACAAATGATGCTGTATGTCAGTTTAATAAGATGTCTCGTGAAAAGCAGTTCTTTAACCAACAGAGATGGCTGTTGTTTTTGAGACATGCTGGACGATGTCCTAGCGTAGCTGGGGAATGCTATGTTAACTGCTTAACAGCTCAGGAGCTGTTGAAACATATGAAAACTTGCAATGACAAAGGATGTGGATACCCTCGTTGTGATGTATCGAAGACTTTAGTCAATCATAATAAGTTATGTCGAGATGCAAAGTGCCCTGTTTGCATTCCTGTTAAGTGTTTTGTACGGGACCATGTACAGGTACGTGCTCGTTCTGATTTCGCTTCTGTGCTGCCTAGTTCAGTCAATGGATCTTGCAAGTCCCATGATATTGCTGAAATTCCGGGAAGGTCAACTGCAGAGACGGGCCTAGTTATAGCTGAAACTCCAGAAGATTTACACCCTCCTATTAAGCGCACAAAAACTGAACAAGGCTCCCAGTCTATTGTCTCAGAAAGTGAACGTCCTGTTGCTTTGACTTCTACAGTAAATGATAGCTATGTCCAGGATGCACAGCATACCGAACAGAAGTACGATCCTCATTTTCCATTGAAACCTGAAATTACTGAAGTAAAAATGGAGGTTCCTGGAAGTGTTGGACGGATAAGCCCCCAAAAGACCGAGATGGATGATGCCTACATACAAAGTCCTGTAGGTGATCCTATTGCACAGAGTAATCCTGCTGGATTTGGTGGGCGGGAGGTCATAAAGTCTGAGATCGAAGTGGGGCAGCCTAAACTGGAAAACAGTTCAGTACCTTCCGAGAATACATCCAAGTCTGGAAAGCCGAAAATAAAGGGAGTATCAATGATAGAATTGTTCACCCCTGAAGAAGTCCGTCAGCACATTATGGGTCTCAGACAATGGGTTGGCCAGGTCAGTCTTTTACCCGCACACATTGTCTATCTCTGTAGACCAGAGTTACATTGTTTTTTGCTTGATATAACTGCTGCAAACACGTTGCATGTAGATATTTCACAAGAAATGACCATTACTGTGCGCTCCTAAATGTCACTGTTAGCACCTCAAAACATTTTCATGAAATGAACATCATAATCGTAAACTATGAAGTTGACATGCAGTTACCTAAGAAAGTCGAATTAACACACCTCCCTTTCTCTTTCTTTTCCTCCCCGCTTCTCTCTCTTCCTCTTGGTTTTTTGCTTTTTGGATGGGAGGTAGAAATTGACAAACTTTCAGAAATGCGCTAGGCTTAGGGTGTTTGGTGAAATATTAAAATGTGCAAGGCTTGGTTACGTTTCTCTAGGAACTCTTACTGATTAAGCGTTGGCATATTAACCAATGAGTCCTTTCTGTCAAGACAAGGTAGCCCGTTGGTAAGTACCTTGCACCTAGGACCTATTTGGTCATGGGTTCGAGACACCAAGGAGGGGAATTGGGGAACCAGTAACTATCCTCCTTTGAGTCCTTTTTTTTTTTTTTTTTTTTTTTTTTTTTTTTTAAATTTCCATATTTAGTTTTGTTTTCTCTATTTTTTTTTTCCTCTGTGTTCTTACCCTGTTTGGCTTTCGAGAAGATTCAGTCACCTTCCTTCTCTATAAGAATGATGTGACCATATATGCTTTTCAAATTTGCCAGACACATTCCTCTGATGAGCTTTTTAATTTTTGTTTTGGTCCACAGAGCAAAGCAAAAGCAGAAAGAAATCAAGCAATGGAGCATTCGATGAGCGAAAATTCTTGCCAGTTGTGTGCAGTAGAGAAGCTTAACTTTGAACCTCCTCCTATCTATTGTACACCTTGTGGTGCTCGCATTAAAAGAAATGCTATGTATTACACCATTGGAAGTGGTGAAACTCGTCACTGCTTCTGCATTCCATGCTATAATGATGCTCGTGGAGACACCATTGTAGTAGATGGGACTACTGTTCCAAAGGCAAGAGTTGAGAAGAAGAAAAACGACGAGGAAACTGAAGAATGGGTATTTCACATCCTACTTTCAATTGTTAATTATTTTTTGTGAAAAATTAGTCCTAGAAGATACTAAAGTTCCATATTTGCAGTGGGTTCAATGTGACAAGTGCGAAGCTTGGCAACATCAAATATGTGCATTATTCAATGGTAGAAGAAATGATGGTGGACAAGCTGAGTACACTTGTCCAAATTGCTATATGGCAGAAGTTGAAAGAGGAGAACGTGTGCCATTACCACATAGTGCTGTTCTTGGAGCAAAGGATTTACCCCGAACAAATCTGAGTGATCACTTGGAGCAACGGCTATTTGCAAAACTGAAGCAAGAGAGGCTGGACAGAGCAAGGTTTCAAGGCAAAAGTTACGATGAGGTGATTCAATTCTACTTGTGTGTAGTAGGATCATATATATCTTCATATTTGAAATTGACTTGCTTAGATATGTTTCCGTCCTATTGTGAGTTGTTATGCATGTGTTGGAGAGATGCTGAAAAGAACATACATAGCATATAATTTGGTGGACTTGCTATGAAAATCCTACTTTCTAATTTGAAGGGCAGTAACTCAGCATTGGATTAAAACTTTTATGACTAATAAGATTTACATCTTTAGCAATATATAAGGGCTGCTAATGTTCATGTAAGTGTACTTTCTTCGAGATGTATATGCTCAATAGTTTTATTGTATTTCATGTATCTACTAGTGTGTATTTATCATTGAATTTATCTTTTAGTTGATAAATAATATGCCAATTTTGCCAGGTTCCCGGAGCAGAAGCACTTGTTGTAAGAGTGGTATCATCAGTGGACAAAAAGTTGGATGTTAAACCACGGTTTCTTGATATTTTCCAAGAGGAAAATTATCCAATAGAGTTCCCATATAAATCTAAGGTGATGCTTATGACTGATGAATTAACTGACCCACTGCCTGTGCAATTACGATTCATGCTATAAAATTTACTACGCCATAAAAGAATTAAAAAGAGCTATGACCTGGATGAGTCTACTTATCATTTATTGTCTGCTTTTAGAAGAAACATGGAGGTTGTACAAAAATTAGTTGCTGCACTAATAGAAAATGTATTAGTTTTATTTAAATTCTATCTACTAAATATCGCGTATCAGTTAAAATTCCATGATTTATACCATGATTTCGTGACAGAATTGAAGATCTGCACAAACTAAGCTGCACTTAAGTAAAGTTTTTACTTTTTTTTTTATAATTCAGCCTGGGATTTATAAATCAGTGTTTACGTGACTGAGTGACCAGAATTCTAGAAGATTTTACCTGAAATTTGATGCTCCAGACAATTATTTATGGTAGTTTGTCGATTTTTTGTTTACTGAAGCTTGGAAAGGTAGTTCGGGTTTCTATAAAATTATTTAGACCTATATTTTCTATGTTTCAGGTTGTGCTATTATTTCAAAGAATCGAAGGTGTTGAAGTATGCCTGTTTGGCATGTACGTCCAAGAATTTGGATCTGAATGCGAGCAGCCAAATCATCGCAGAGTCTACCTCTCGTACCTGGACTCTGTTAAGTATTTCAGGCCAGAGGTCAGAGCAGTCACGGGAGAGGCTCTTAGGACCTTTGTCTACCATGAAATTTTGGTAAGTTTCTGTCTCTTGTGGTCATTTTGTTAGCCGATTCATTTGTTAGTGAAAATATTTCTTATAAATTGTTGCTCAAGTACCTTGAATTATGTCTGTTACAGATTGGATACCTCGACTATTGCAAAAGGCGAGGTTTTACTAGCTGTTATATATGGGCTTGCCCTCCATTGAAGGGTGAGGACTACATTTTGTACTGCCATCCAGAAATTCAAAAGACACCAAAATCTGATAAACTTCGGGAGTGGTAAGTTAGGTGGCTGTTGAATATATTGGGTGGTAATCTGTACCATTTTCTTGCCTTTTCTTAATTCTTTCCGTTTCAGGTATTTGTCGATGTTGCGAAAAGCGGCAAAGGAAAATGTTGTAGTTGATCTCACTAATCTGTACGAACATTTCTTTGTTTCGACCGGTGAATGTAAAGCGAAGGTAACTGCAGCTCGGTTACCATACTTTGACGGAGATTATTGGCCTGGTGCTGCGGAGGACATCATCTTTCAACTCCAGCAAGAAGAGGATGGGCGGAAACAACATAAGAAGGGCACTATGAAAAAGAGCATCATCACCAAAAGAGCTTTAAAGGCGTCTGGCCAAACTGACCTTTCTGGCAATGCAACAAAGGATCTCATGTTAATGCATAAAGTAATTCTTTTTTCCGATCTCTTCATTTTCTAGTCTCTTTCCAGTGGTAAAAACTTTTCCATGATTTGGTTATGAACTCATTTTGTCTATTTTTTTCACCAAAAAACACATCATTAGGTGCTTAATTTATGGCTATGATTTTTCAAGTAATTATTTTAGTCTGTCCAACCATTCTTTTTCTTTTCATTTTTATGATTCTCTTCTAGTACTTTTGAGATATATGAATATCACTAATTTTTATTTGTTTCCATAGCTTGGTGAGACAATATCACCGATGAAGGAAGATTTTATCATGGTTCACTTACAGCCCGCATGCTCGCACTGCTGCATTCTAATGGTTTCTGGAACTCGTTGGGCTTGTAAACAGTGCAAAAATTTTCAGCTTTGTGATAGGTAAGGATTCTTCCAACTTCTGTCTTATTACTGTGAAACTCCTCCACTCCTCCCAACTTTGCATCTTTTATTTTTCGACCATCGACCCCTGCACGAATGGTGAAATAGAGGTGGTGCTTTGTTGAAATGGTAGTGTTTGATAAGTCTGATATACTTTTGACTGGGAATATTAATTGAAACGGAACATAATGGGATTAAGTTGTGCGGGATTATGTGAGATTTCAGATTTCATATGCAATTTAGAAGTTTGTTTCTACTCCTTTTGGGTCATCGTTTTTATGTCTTGTCATTTAATTATTAGGTCTATCCGAGAGAATATGAAGGGCAATTTTGAATAATTGAACATCTTCTGTTTAGGTGTAGTAAAATGAAGTTTGCTGCAAAATGAATTACATATACAGAGCGACAAGAACCAACGGATTAGTTGTTATAATATTCCCTCAGATGAATGATGACGGATTTCTTCTTTAAAACATACACTTTCTATCTCATCAGATCCTGCTGTTTATTTTGTCATTATTTCAAACTACTATCTAAATATTATTATGAATGCATCGTATAGTGGTGCATTTTATGCTTATCTATTTTCCTTCGCCTTGTATTATTATTTTTTTTTTAATAGTTTACACGGCTCATGGTATGTTATGTCGGTGGACTACTCACTCAATTCACCCTTTTCAGGTGCTACGACGCCGAACGAAAACGCGAAGACAGGGAGAGACATCCTATCAACCAAAAGGACAAGCATGCACTCTATCCCGTAAGTCCGTAGGATCATAAGTTTTGCTGACGTGGCACTCTGTACTTTAATTTCTTCCGTATTAGGAGTAAGAAATTTACGGACCTGCAGGTGGAAACAACTGGAGTACCAGATGACACCAAAGACAATGAAAATCTCGAGAGTGAATTCTTCGACACAAGGCAGGCATTCCTTAGTCTTTGTCAAGGAAACCATTACCAGTACGACACTTTACGTAGAGCTAAGCATTCATCCATGATGGTCCTTTATCATCTTCATAATCCTACCGCCCCAGCTTTCGTGACGACATGTATTATATGTCACCTCGATATAGAAGCTGGGCAGGGTTGGCGCTGTGAGACATGCCCCGATTATGAGGTGTGTAATGCTTGTTATCAGAAGGATGGAGGAAGAGACCATCCTCATAAGTTGACCAATCTTCAATCTAGTGACCATGATGACCAGAATAAAGAAGCTAGGCAGTTGCGAGTTACACAGGTAACCGGTGTTTTTTTTTTTTTTTTCCCGTTATTATGTGGTTCGTGTTTTGAGAGCTCTTATTTTTATGGTCCGTCTTTCTATACGTGCATTTTCGCCATTTTGTTGTTCTTTATGTCTCTTTCATTCTTAACTTGAGAGAGGTTATAAAATTAGTTTCGTGAAATCCACTACCCCATTTAAATATGAACGGGCATCGTGAAATGTTGAGATCTCTTGCCCGGATGAATAAATTAGTAACAACTACAAATGTTTGGAAAAGCACCCGTCACTTACTACTAGCATTTAATTTCTTGATTTTTTAAATTGTTAAGATGTTTCATGTAAGATTACATGAAGCATTTAATTCTTGGGGTCAGATTTTGTAACATGAATTTCTTGGTTTGGCCCTTTTCAGCTGAAGAAAATGCTTGAGCTTCTGGTACACGCTTCTCAATGCCGGTCTCCACATTGTCAGTATCCAAATTGTCGCAAGGTCAAGGGACTTTTCCGACATGGTATGGTCTGCAAAGTACGTGCTTCAGGAGGTTGTCCTTTGTGCAAGAAAATGTGGTACCTCCTTCAGCTTCATGCTCGAGCTTGCAAAGAATCCCAATGCAACGTCCCCCGTTGCAGGTTTGTTCTGAAAAACCTTCTTCTAACATAGACTCGAACTTCCATTGTGCTAATAATGATCGGATCAAAGAAAACATTTGAGTAAAATAGTCGAAATGATAGGTAATATAGTTCGAATGCTTGTCATGATAAAATGTTAGTAATTTGATATTCAAACCTCGGGGGGGATTGGAACAAAAGTTTTTGTTTCCAACGATTCCGATCCAAAATTTTCCGACTGGATCAATATTTTTCATTTGGATCTGTACTGGAATATATATATGAGATTCCGATTTCCGATCCGATTTAAGTTCCAAAACTAATTCTGAAAATTCCGATTTTTTTCCAAATATTACACTTCAATAACAGTATTATTAGGTATTTTATATTTTAGGTGACAAAAAATTGGAAATTTCAAAATTCCTGCGATTTCCATCCTAAATTTTCCAATTTTTGGACTATTTTTTTTCTTTCCAATTTCAATTTTTGGAACGGAATTTGACTTATTTTTTCACTTCTGAAAAAATCGGAATTTTCCGGAAAGGGCTAATTCCGATCCGATCCGATCTGATCCGTCCGAAATACACCCCTAATAAACAATTTTGACTATTTTACTCCTTTTTCTTGATCCAATCACAACCCTTTGTTTTTTTACCGGAAATACATTGTATAAAATTTTCTTTCATATTTGATACAGAGACTTGAAGGAGCACATGAGAAGGCTACAACAGCAGTCCGATTCAAGACGAAGGGCCGCTGTAATGGAAATGATGAGACAACGTGCTGCCGAGGTTGCAGGTAGTTCTTGATCGCCCAGTTGTATATATAGAAACCCAAATTTATTATAGCTTGTTTTAACTTATTCCGTTTAAGAGTGAGCCAGAAAAAAAAAACGATTTTCCAGAGTTGAGAACTACAATTTTTGAACTCACAATAGGATTTGAAAATATGTTAATTTTCTCATGGCGCCAAAAAAATTACAAAGAAAAAAAAAGGAGAAAAGAGGAAATCGGGGAGTTACGTAATCGTTTGTCGTTTGGCTTACGATACATGCGTTTATTTATACATGTCGGTATGAGTTTGGTAGGTATGTTTATAGGTCAGAGACTGCTTGAAGCTACTCTATTTTAGATAGAGAACAGTGTATAAATTATCTCTGTACTTTTTTTTTTTTTGGGTATCAGTAAATTGTAATTTCATTGATCCTAATTGTGTATTATTTTTATACTTTACAGTCGATCAGATCGTATAGATGATTTCATTGCAGTAATAGCTAAAACATGAAGTCCAAGTTAGACCCGACCCTGAACGAATCGGGTCGATAATTTGTTCACGGTAGACAAAAATAAAAAAATAAACACTTTTTTTTCTTGAGTTTTTTTAAGGGTAAATTACACGGCTTTGTAGTAAGGTCAAATTACGAAAAAATTCTCGTCTATTTGAGAGATTACAACAAATATGCTATAGTACACAGATTTGTATAAAATTGGTTGAACAATTAAAAAACTTTTTCACGATCAAAATCTCCTAAAACTGTACGCTATAGTACACAAATTTTGGGTAAAATTGGTGGAACGTTCAAAAAAAAATTTCACGATCAAAATCACTAAAAACTGTATCCTATATTACATGGATTTTGGGTAAAATTGGTGGAAAGTCCAAAAACTTTTTCACGGTCAAAATCACCAAAATTTGTATGATATATAGTGCACAATTTTTTTATAAAATTGGTAGATTGTCCAAAACACTTTTTCACGATTAAAATCATCAAAAACTGTATACTATAATACACAGATTTGGGTAAAATTGGTCGAACGTCCCAAAAAAATTTCACGATCAAAATTACCAAAAACTGTACGCTATAATAGTATACATATTTTGGATAAAATTGGTGGAACGTCCAAAAAACTTTTTCATGGTCAAAATCACCTAAAACTTTAGGCTATATTACACAGATTTTGGGTAAAATTGGTGGAAGGTCCAAAAAACTTTTTCACGATCAAAACCACAGAAAACTGTATACTATAGTATACATATTTTGGGTAAAATTGGTGGAACGTCCAAAAAACTATTTCACGATCAAAATCACCTAAATCTGTATACCATAGTACACAGATTTTGGGTAAAATTGGTGGAACGTCCAAAAAATTTTTTCATAATCAAAATCACAAAAAACCGATTCCAATTTTATCAAAAAATTGTGTACTATATAGTATACAATTTTGGATGATTTTGATCATGAAATAGTTTTTTGGATATTGCACCAATTTTTACTAAAATCTAGGTAATATATTATACAGTTTTTTGTGTTTCTGATCATGAAAAAGTTTTTACACACTACACAAAAAACAAACACTAAAAAATACACACACTACACCGAAAACACACACTAAAAAGAATTGCACACACTACACCTAAAACACACACAATAAATAATTACACACACTAGAACGAAAACACACAATAAATAAATATACACACATTACACAAAAAACACATTAGAAAATATACACACACTACACCGAAAATACACACTAAAAACTATACACACACTACACCGAAAACACACCCAAAAAAAATACTTGCACTACACCAAAAACACACACTAAAAAGAATTACACACACTACACCGACATCACTCACTAAAAAATATACACATACTAAAACACACACTACACCGAAAACACACACTACACAGAAAGCACACACTAAACAATATACACACACTACATTGAAAACACACACTAAAAAAATACACAAACTACACCGAAAACACACACTACACCGAAAACACACACACGAACCGAAAACACACACTTAAAAAATATACACTCACTACACCGAAAACACACACTTAAAAAATATACACATACTACACCGATAACACATACTAAAAAATACACACACACTACAATGAAAACACACACTAAAAAAAAATACACACTACACAAAAATACACACTAAAAAAAATACACACTAAAAAAAATACACACTAAAAAGAAATACACACACTACCCCGAAAACATACACTAAAAAATATACACTACCGAAAATACACACCAAAAAAAATTACACACTACACCGAAAACACTCACTAAAAAAAATTACATACTACAAAATATACACACACTACACAAAAAACACACACTAAAAAGAATTGCAGACACTACACCGAAAACACACAATAAACAATTACACACACTAGAGCGAAAACACACACTAATAGATGATACACACACTACACCGAAAACACACACTAGGGCGGAAACCACTAATAATATACACA